AGAAAAGCTTGTGTTTTCCAGTCTAGCCTGTTGGGGCACCATGCCCTGTCCCCAATGTCCACCCTCATCATTCCCTGTGGACCTTGTTGCTCCCACGAGGGCCATTTTCTCTGCTTCTGAGAAGGGCTCGTGTTGAGGCAAATCTTATCTCTGTAGATTATAAACTCCTTAAGGTGGGAATAGAAAAAGATTGTTCAATTGTTATTCAGCATCTTTGATAAATCCCTGCTGTCCTATCTTAGTTATTTACTAAATTCCTGATTATTCTTTTTTTAAAGAAACTTTCCTTCCTATTCTCTCTGATATTCCTTTAGAATAGAGACTGAAAGCCACGTGAGCTGGGGAAACTTGCTGTTATTTTTATTCATGGTTGTCCATCTTAGATTAATTTTAATTAAAATTCATATGTTGAAATAGTTCTTGTAGTCATACCATATTATTTAGAAATAAAGGCTGTGTTTTGTGTCTCCCGATGACCATAACTATAAAATTTTGTTGTTCAAATAGTACTTTCTTACCTGTTTCAATATTTTACAAATATATCCATAAATTTTACAAGTGCTCTCCTTTGGTTTGAAGATTGAAGGTATAGTTGAAGAAATTGAGCCCAAACCAGAAGAAAGTGCCAATAAAAAGCATATGGATAAGAAGAGAAAACTGAAGGAGTTGTTTGATGCAGAATATGATAACGGAGAAAGTACATACTTTGATGAGCTTAAAGGAGAAATGCATAAACAAGCACAAGTAAGAAAACCCAAGTCCTTTCTATCAGTCTCTTTTAAAGGCTATAGACTTATTTGACCCCAAACTTTATTTTATTCAGGACTGTGTACGATGACCCCATTCTGTGCCTCTCCTCTGGACTCCTAAGTCAATGTACATGTGAGAATGTTTACGTACACATTCTCCTGTTACCTAAGTCAGAAGTTAGTTTTAAAAAAAAAAGCAAACCAGATCCTAGAATTGAACTAAGCAATAGTTTTTGAAGGAACAGAAATGACTAGTACTTGGTCATCACTTTGGAGGATCTCACTGTGATGTTAGGTTTATTTAAATACAAGTATTGATTGCTCATTCACATGATTGCTTCCCAGAACCCAAAAGTGTGAATGGGCAGGTAATTTTGAGGTTATGTGGCTTGTGCTGTCCAGAGAATTTTTTTTTTTCCTTAAAAGTCATCTTGGTTAGAATTCAAAGGAATATTGTAAGCATCAGGCTAGATATAGAATGTTGTAAGGAATATAGTTCACCCCACCATCTGTGAATTCTGAGCCATCCTGTTTGAATTGTTGATTTCACTATAAGGAACACAGAGGTGTGAGCATAGTCGATGATAAGGTTTAGATCACTTATTTGAGTTGTGCTGTGAAGAGGGTGGACAGCAAGAGATGTGGAGGGAAGACACCAAGACTCTATAGCAGTGGTTCTCAACCTTCCTCATGCCTCGACCCTTTAATAGTTCATGTTGTGGTGACCCCAACCGTTAAATTATTTTCATTGCTACTTCATAACTGTAATCTTGCTACTGTTATGAATCGGGCGACCCTTGTGAAAGGGTTGTTCGACTCCCAAGGGGGTCACGACCCACAGGTTGAGAACCGCTGATCACAGGCAGTGGGCAAACAAAGCTAAGTCCATCTCCATTGAGTCAATTCAGACTTGTGGGACAGAATAGTGTTTTTAAAGTGGCGATTCTATATGGCAGAAGGCTGCCACATATTTTTCCCATGGAGCAAGTTCAAATTAAGATTCTTTGGTTAGCAGTTAAGTGCTGTATCCACTACCATGGCTCCCCAAGACTGTAATATGTCTTAATATATCTTAAGCAAACTAAGTATACAGTGTGTGGAGATGCATTAGGCAGACATTACTCAAGTGAGGCTTCATCTAATCCACTAAGAGTGTCTCATTTAGTCTTTAACATAGTTATAAATTTGTGCTGATCTTTGTTCGTGTGGATTTAAGAGGAATGGAAGGAGATGAAGTTGAGCCTGGAACTGTGGAGGACTTAGCTCAACTTCTGTTGTAAAGAAGCAGAACGTTGGTGGAGAAAGTGACGTCAAAAAGGTCTTGAGAGGAGAACAGGGAATATTTGTTGGAATAAACTGCAACAAGGTTGTATTTAGTCCGTAAGGAAGGTCTTCCTCCAGTCGACCTGCTGATGGTTTCAAACTGTAGACCATGAGGATCATAGCCCAGTGCGTAACCACCAGTCCATCTTAAGGTTACTTAGACAAATTCACTATTCCACGAAGATGCTTGTCAAGTTTCTAAAAACCTTCATATTTCTAATGCAGTCCCTCATCATGTGTAGATATTGACCACTTGAAATGTGGCTATGCAACTGAGGAACTTAATTAAAATTTTAATTTTAATTTCTATTTAAATAATACCTTGTGGCTATCATGTTGGACACTGTAGAGCTATAACAATAGGGTGGCTATGGATGGATGTTAGTTGTAGAAATTCTAGAAGATGGTTCAGTTGTAGTGGTTGGAAGATAAGGGAAGGGGCATTGTCATTGGAGGACTGAAGAAAAGTTGTAGAGTAATTAATTACTAGAAAAGTTAAAGTATGGGCTGTGGGAATTGAGAGCCTTTACTGAGCAGCATTAAGAGTTTGTTTCTGAGTTATTTACATTTGCTATTACCATCAAGCAACAGAGAAGAAAAGAGGGACATTCTGAACTAAAATTAAAATGTACATTATTTTAATTAGGGTAAAACTAGAACCATTCTGTTTATGGTTCGTTTACTTAGAAACTGTTCAGTTTTTAAATGTTAATATTATTAAGAATAACAATGTTGTGAATTTCCCCCACCTTTTTAAAACTTTATTTTATTATTATTTTTAATCATTTTATTGAGGACTCTTACAGCTCTTCTAACATTCCATACATCAGTTGTGTCAAGCATATTTGTATATATGTTACCGTCATTTTCTAAACATTTTCTACTTGAGCCCTTGGTATAAACTCTTTTTTCCCCTCTCTCGCAACCCTCCCACCCTCGTGAGCCCTTGATCAATTATACATTGTTATTACTAATTTTTTGTTATTATTATTCCCCTCTCTTATATAGCTTAACCGAGCAGAATTTGAAGATCAAGATGATGAGACCAGAGTTCATTATGAAGGTTTTCGACCTGGGATGTATGTCCGGATTGAGATAGAAAACGTTCCCTGTGAATTTGTACTTAACTTTGACCCTCACCATCCAGTTATTCTGGGTGGTTTGGGCACTAGTGAAGGCAATGTTGGATATGTACAGGTGTGTACCCTTTGCTATGTGTTTGGTAAAGTGGACTTACTCTCCACCATCGATTGTATTGAATAGAACAACATCTCTCTCTATACCTCAGATGCGTCTGAAGAAACATCGGTGGTATAAGAAAATCCTGAAGTCTCGAGACCCGGTCATTTTTTCTGTAGGTTGGAGGCGGTTTCAGACCATTCCACTTTATTATATTGAAGACCACAATGGAAGACAAAGGCTTCTAAAATACACCCCAAAGCATATGCATTGTGGCGCAGCATTTTGGGGTGGGTAAAATGCTCATGAGAATTACTTGTTACATGAATTTAGATCTTTTAGTCTTACTCATTTCACTAATTCCTAATATCTTTCTTTAGTTAGATTGGAGTATATATATAAAACCAAATTCAAAATGTGTGGTTTATTTTTTTTTCTGTTTTCTTTAAGGTCCTGTCACACCACAGGGGACTGGGTTTTTGGCACTACAGTCTGTTAGTGACATGATGGTAAGCATCTTAGATGTTTTCTTTTACAGATAGTATTTCAGAAATATAAGCTATTATGTACATGAAATTTTGAGCTGAAAATTGGTCATTTTCAATTTAACTATAAGTTTCTCTTTGCTTTTAATTTTCCCACACTGTTTTAAACTAGATTGTAGGAATAGAGGGAGATAGAAAAAGAATTGTAATGCTATTGATGATATTTAATATATTAATGCATATTTTGGACTTGCATTTAAGCAGTGTCTATCAGATGCCCTGCCACCACTTGTCTGTCTGTCAGTTTGTCATACTGTGGTGGCATGTGTGTTGCTGTGATGCTGGAAGCTATGTCATTGCTATTTCAAATATCAGCAGAGTTACCCACAGTGAACAGGTTTCATCAGAGCTTCCAGACAAAGAACAGACAACAAAGAAGGACCCGGCTGTCTACGTTGGAGGAGACACTTGCTGAAAATCTTATGTATAGTTTCAAAACATTGTCGGGTATTAAAGGCCCGATGAATGGAAACAAGATACTTGTCAGCGATAGTGCTCCTCAGGTAGGAGGGCACTCCAAATCTGACTGAAGAGGAACTTTTTCTTCAGTGACATAAATGGAGTAAAGCCTAAGGGAGTGGAGCCTTTGGGATCTTCATCTGCTGGAGGGGGATGCCTCCAGATAAGAAGAAACAGCTGTAAAATCAGCTAATGAATGGAACTTAGCATGTGTGAAGTACTGGAAAATTGAAAATGGTCAGAAATGAAATAGAATGCTCAAAAATCGATAATGTAGGCATTAGTGAGCTTAAGTAGACTGGTATTAGCCATTTTAAATCAGAAAATCATATAATTTTAATTTACTATGCTGGGACTAGCACACCCAAGAGAAATGGTGTTACAGTCATTATCCAAAAGGACATTTCAAAATCAATCTTGAATTATAATGCCATCTATGGTAGGATTATATCTGTCCACCTTCAAGAAACTCCAAACAATACGACTATTATTCCAATTTATGCACTAACCACCAAAGCTAGTGATGACATTAAAAAATTCTAGCAACAGTTTCAATCAGGAATTGATCAAACATGTCACCAAGATAGATTGATAATTATTGGTGATTAGAATACAAAATTGGAAGCAGAAAGGAACAGTAGTTGGAAAATATGGACTTGGTGATAGAAATGAAGCTGAAGATGTTACGAGAGAATTTTGCAAGACCAACAACTTGTTCATAGCAAAGACCTTTTACCTTTTTTCAGCAGCACAAAAAGCTGTACATGTGGACTTCTCCAAGTGAAATACATAGAAATCAAATTGACTATATCTGTGAGAAGACAAGATGGAGAAGCTCAATATCAGCAGCTGAAACCAGACCAGGGACCGCCTGTGGAACAGACATCAATTGCTCATATGTAAGTTCAGGATAAAGCTGAAGAAAATTAAAACAAGTCCACAGGAACCAAAATCTGACCTTGAGTCTTACCCACCTGAATTTTGAGACCATCTCAGGAACGCATTTGCTGCATTGAACACCAACGACAGAAGACCTGATGAGCTGTGAAAGACATCAAGAATATCATTCATGAAGCAAGCAAAACGTCATTGAACAGAAAGAAAAGATCAGAGTGGATATCAGAAGAGACTCCGAAACTTGCTATTAATCAATTAATCATAGCGTAGCTAAAGCAAATGGAAGAAAGAAAAGAAGTCAAGGAGCTGAATAGAAATTTTTTCAAAGGATAGCTCAAGAAGACAAAGCCAAGTATTATACGGAAATGTGCAGAGATCTAGAATTACAAAACCAAGAGGTAATAACATGCTCAACATATCTGAAACTGAAAGAACTCAAGAAAAAATTCAAGCCTTGAGTTGTAATTTTGAAACATTCTATAGGCAAAATATTGAAGGAGTCAAGAAGCATCAAGAGAAGATGGAAAGAATACACAGTCACTGTACCTGAAAGAACTAGTCCATAGTCCAGCATTTCAGGAGGTAGCATATGAACAAGAACCACTGGTGCTGAAGAAAGAAGTTCACATTACCAAATGCATTAGCCAAAATCAAGGCCCTGGGATATTTAAGAAAGCTGAAGAACCAATAGATGCATTTACTCATTTATGCCAGGACATTTGGAAGAGGATTACATGGCCAAGTGAAAGGAAGAGATTCATATTTGTGCCCAGTCCAAAGAAAGGTGGCCCAACAAAATATGCAAATTATAGACCAATAGCATTGATATCACATGCAAGTAAAATTTCATTGAAGATCAAGAAAGAACTTGCCTGAGGTGCAAGCCAGATTGAGAAGGGAAAGTGGAACAAGGCTGATGTCAGATGGATCCTGGCTCAAAGCAGAGAATACCAAAAAGATGCTTACTTATGTTTTATTGAAAGTGCCAAGGCATTTGTGGATCATAACAAATTATGGATAACCTGAGATTGGGAATTCCTGAACACTTTATTGTGTTCCTGCAGAACTTGTAGATGGATCAAGAGACAGTGCAGGAACATAATAAGGGAATACTGGGTTGTTTAAAATTGTGCATCAAGGTTGTATTCTCTCACCATATTTATTCAATCTGTATGCTGAGCAAATAAGCAAAGAAAATGGATTATATGAAGAAGAATGTAGCGTCAGGATTGGAAGAAGACTTAACAACCTACACTATACAGATGACACAACCTTGCTGGCTGAAAGTGAGGGGGACCTGAACCATTGTGTCAGTCCGCCTCATTGAGGGCCTTCCTCTTTCTTTTAAGGTCATTTGATTGGGAGCTCTTAGAACAATCCATATATCAATTGAATCAAACATATTTGTACATATGTGGCCATCATTATTTTCTAAACATTTACATTCTATTTGAGCCATTGGTATTAGCTCCTCATTTTACCCTGCCTCCCCTCCTCCCAAGGTCATGACCCCCCCCCTTTTTTTGGGCCCCTTGGTAAATTATAAATTATTATTAACTTCATATCTTACACCAATTGAAGTCTTTCTTCCCCCATGGTTTCTTCCCCTCTCCTCGCCCCACCTTGCCCTACCCTCCGGTATTGCTACTCCCATTTCTGTACCTGACTGGTTTATTTGAACTGAATTTTGTGTGACCTGAGCTCTTAGCTGTACCTGTGTAAATGCTTTGGCCTAGCCCACAGTGAAAGACAAGGGGTCATGATAGGGGGTGGGGAGTGAGGAAGCCTCAAGGAACCAGAGGAATATTGTGTGTTTCATCAGTGCTATACTTCACCCTGGTTGACTCATCCCTTCCTTGTGACCCTTCTGTGAGGGGATGTCCCATTGGAGGGACTTCCTCTTTTTCACTGCCCCTCCACTTTACCAAGCATGATGTCCTTCTCCAGGGACTAGTTTCTCCTTACATATCCAAAGTATGTGATACAAAGTCTTGCCATCCTTGCCTCTAAGGAGTACTCTGACTGTTCTTCCAAGACGATGGGTTTGTCCTATTGGCAGTCCATGATACTTTCAGTATTCTTTGCCAGCACCACAATTCAAACACATTAGTTCTTCTTCAGTCTTCCTTATTCAATGTCCAACTTTCACATGCAATTGACAGTACCATAGCTTGGGTCAAGTACACCTTAATCCTTAAAGGAATATCCTTGCTTTTCAATACTCTTAAGGACATTTTTGAGCTTTAATTTACCTAATGCAACTTATCTTGGTCTCTTTTCTGCTGCTTCCATAAACATTGATTGTAGATCCAAGCAAGATAAAATCCTGGACAATTTGAACCTTTTCTCTATATATGTTACTTGTTGGTCCAGTTGTGAGGATTTTGGTCTTCTTCACACTGATTCATAATCCACACTGAAGACTTCAGATCCTCACTTTCAGCAAGCACGGTTGTGTCATTTGCATATGTCAGGTTATTATAAGCCTTCTAATCCTGGTATTGCATTCTTCATATATACTGTTTTGGTTGTGCAAATGTTATTCTTTATTAGCTGAGTATAGGTGAAATGCACTTTGGCCATTGCAAAAATATTATTGGGGTCATCTGACTTCTTGTCACCAACTAAGGTGAATGACAATCATCATCCAGTCCAAGGCTAATTGCTAAGAAATAGAGGTCAGATCTATCTACCCTCTCTAATATTTTTTACCAGTTCTGTCATCAAACTGTACCCCACCCACATTATACTTCTCTCTTAGACACACAGAACTCAAAGACAATACAATTATGGGGCTTATTAAGGATGTAACATGTTATAATACAGGATTAGAAATGACTCAGGATATATAGTTCTTTAATCAGGACAGCCTCTTTGCCATGCATATAGGCTGGCCTCTTTTTGTTCCTTGAGCTTTTACATGTACCCAGCCTCTGTCCTGTCTGGGCAAGTGCTACAAAACTCTACCAGAAAGCCTCCTGCTTTAAGGTGCTAAGTGTTCTGCTCTGTAGTCTAGAAAACGTACTGTACCATCTCTTACCAATATCCTAGCTCTGCTGCCTCTAATGTTGCCATCTCTCTGCCACTACTTCTCTTCACCTCTGATGTTTGGAGTCTCTTCTTCCTGGATCTAGGAGGTTCCCAGCACAGGGGTTCTTGGTCCAAAGGACAGGGTCTATTCTTGTCTCTGCTTCCTGCTGGCCATCAGATTCTCCGCCAGCTTCATCCCTAGTGTTCTGGCATTGGCTGTCTTAAGCCTAGCATGATGGCAAAACTGACCAATCCCCTCCTTAGGGTTACATGCATTTTATTTGCATGGTCCCTCCCACCCAATGGCCATGCAATATATATACATTTTCAGCAAACTATCTAATCCCTTTGATGAACCACACACACCTCATTGCATTGATTTCAGTCATTTGGTGGAAGTTACAGAGACGGACTAAACTAAGCCCTCTGCCATCAAGGCATTTGCAACTCATAGTGACCCTATAGGACAAAGTGGAGCTACCTCATAAGGTTTTCAAGGCTGTAAATCTTTATGGGAGCATACAACCACATATTTTCTGCCATGGAGTAGCTGTTGGGCTCACCCTGCCAACTTTTTGAACACCTGAGCACTTAACCACTGCATCACCAGGCCCCCTATAAACTATGGTTGAAGGGCCATATTTATTGTGATTCACTACACTATATTACTTTATTACATTCACAGAGATGTGTAATTTTCCCTTACTAATACTGTTTTTATATTCCTATGGGTTCCTTTTAGCCTGATTTCCGGATAGCTGCAACAGGAATTGTCCTTGATCTGGAAAAATCCATAACAATTGTGAAGAAATTAAAACTAACTGGATTTCCATATAAAATTTTCAAGAATACTTCATTTATTAAGGTTTGTTTATCTAATTATGCATATTTCTTTACATCAGACTTCATAACATTCATAGTAAAATGTAATTGAAAGAAAAAGGAATTTTTCCACAAACTTTTTGAAGCCTCCTTGTAAATAATTACATGTCAATAAAGCAAGAATAAAATACTTATAAAATGTAGTCTAATGTTTTCTGAAAGGTTTTTTGATTATTTTAATATCTTGATTTGTGATATTTTTATTTTTGTTTTTATTGATCTCTTAATACATTCACAGCCTCAGAAATGTTAAGGTGAAGTAAAATGGATTTTACTGCTTGAGACCATGATTTTTAGTAATTCCATGTGAGACTGTGCTAAATTTGGGGGGCGGGGGAGAGGGAGGGGGTGTTTTTTAACTAAAAAATGTTTTTATGAACTAACAGTTGATGTATATGGTTTTTCCTCAAAATACAATTTTCTAGGGAATGTTTAATTCTGCCTTGGAAGTGGCCAAATTTGAAGGTGCTGTGATTCGAACTGTCAGTGGAATAAGAGGACAAATAAAGAAAGCTCTCCGGACTCCAGAAGGAGCATTCCGGGCCACATTTGAGGATAAGTTGTTAATGAGTGGTAAATCTTCTTTGTGGTGTTTTGATTACAATAATCATTATTGATTTCTAGCTACCAATGGTGCGATAAATATGGATTTTAAGCTTTTAATTAGATTTTTTAAAAACTTATTTGGTTGGGGGCGCTTACAGTTCTTAGCTGACACATCCATCCGTTGTGTCAAGCACATTTGTACAAATGGTGCCACCATCATTTTCAAAACGTTTTCTTTCTACTTGAGCCCCGGTAGCACCTCCTCACTTTCCCCCCTCTCCCACCCTTGCTCTCTCATGAACCCTTGATAATTTATAATTTTTTTCATGTCTTAGAGCAACTGCTGTCTCCCTTCACCCACTTTTCTGTTGTCTGTGCCCCTAGGGAGGGGTTATATGTAGATAATTGTGATCAGTTCCCCCTTCCTCCCCCCACATTCCCTTTACCCACTACTCTCATTATTAGTCCAGAGTGCTTTATCTGTCCTGGATTCTCTGTGTTGCGAGCTCTAATCTGTACCTATGTACATGCTCTGGTCTAGTTGGATTTGTAAGGTGGAATTGGTGTCATGATACTGTTGGGGAGGAAGTATTAAAGAACTAGAGGAAAGTTGTATGTTTCATTGGTGCTATACTGGACCCTGATGGCTCATCTCTTCCGTGTGACCCTATAGACAATTGGATATCCCCTTTGTGTCTCCACTCTACCCTCCCCTTTATTAGCTTTGTGTCTCCACTCCACCCTCCCCTTTATTCACATTGATACAATTTTTTGTTCTGGGTCTTTGATGCCTGATACCTGCTCCCATAGACACCTCTCGATCACACAGGCCGGTGTACTTCTTTCATGTGGCTTTTGTTGCTTTTGAGTAGATGACCGTTTGTTTACCTTCAAGCCTTTAAGACCCCAGACACTATATCTTTTCATAGCCGGGTACCATCAGCTTTCTTCACCGCATTTGCTTATGCACTCATTTTGTCTTCAGCGATCTTGTCTGGAAGGTGAGAATCACAGAATGCCAGGTTATTAGAACAAGGTGTTCTTGTATTGAGGGAGTACTTGAGTAGAGGCCCAGTGTCGGTCTGCTACCTTAATACTTAACACATTTAGACCTTTATAAGTATCCCTTGCCTCCTAGTTCTTTCCTCTATTTCATTTTACTTTTCTCTTGTCCCACTATCATGTTCAGCCTTCATTCAGGTTTCAGTAATTCCTCTGGGCTACATTGCCCTTGATTAAGCACCACCAGGCATCCTATATATGCCCTCCTCGCCATCAATTTTAGATTACTTGTTGTTCCCTTGTCTCTGTGTTTGTTAACACCCACTTCCTTTCCCCTGCCTCCCCTCTCCTATGTCTCCCTGCAACCATTAGGCCCATTGTTTTCTCCAAATTGTTTATCCTGCCTCTTATCTAGATAGGCATGCAGAGATAATAATAAGCACAAAAACAAGACAAAGTAAAACAAAACAACAAAAGAAAACAAAACACACAACCAGCCTACCCTGACATGATTGCTGAAGACAAAGTGGGTGCATAAGCAAATGCGGTGAAGAAAGCTGATGGTGCCCGGCTGTCAAAAGATATAGAATCTGGGGTCCTATAGGCTGGAAGAGAAACAAGGGACCATCTAACTGAG